TTGATTGATTTGCTCCAAAGTGAATTAAAGCAGTGCTTCTCAGACTAGAAGGTACAAACCAAACATCTGGGGATTTTGTTAATATGCAGATTCTGATTGGACAGGCCCAAGAATCTTCATTTTTACCAGTTCCCAAGTGATGGCAGTATCCTAGACTGTACTTTGTGAAGCAAGGAACGAAAAGACGGTGCTAAGCTAGGAAGATTCAACAGCATAAAAATGTTAGCTCTGTTTAAGTTGAGGTGTGAAATCATGGTATTCCAATTAAAATAACAAGTTTTTTTTTTTTTTAAGGACTTAAATTGGCTCAAAAATTCTTTTGGAAAAATAAATAAGAATATCCCCCAAATTCTTAAGTAGATGAATGGACTAGCTCTACTAGATACTGAAACATGATAAGAAATTACAGTATTTAAAACAAGCTCATGAATAGACTGGCAAATCAAAGAGAAAAGAGAAGTCCTATGATAAGCCCCAATACAGATCACAGAGATGTCATGTATATGATCAAGTAGCTGATAAAGTTTTGATATTGATGCATTTAGTTTATGGTAAAGGTATTGCAGTGGGGCACAACCAGATTATTCAATAAGTGATTTGGGATGACTAGGTAGTCATTTGGGAAAAAACAAAGTTGGAGCTATATATGTTATAGTGAAATTAATCCAGATGTATCAGAGATTTAAATATAAATGATAAAACCATTAAAGTCCTAAACTTAATAGTGGGAAAATTTTTATTATAATCTTGGATCAGGGAGGACTTTTGAAGTATAAAACCCAGAAACCATGAAATCAATGTATATATATAAAAGTAAGTTTTTCTGCATAGCAAAAACCATCATATGCAAAGCCAAAAAATAAATAACTGGAAAAATGTGTTGGCTAATATCACAGGGAGTAAATTTTCTTTTTCTTTTTTTTTTTTTTTAAAGATTTTATTTATTTATTTGAGACAGAGAGAATGAGAGAGAGAGAGCACATGAGAGGGGGGAGGGTCAGAGAGAGAAGCAGGCTCCCCGCCGAACAGGGAGCCCGATGCGGGACTCGATCCAGGGACTCCAGGATCGTGACCTGAGCCGAAAGCAGTCGCTTAACCAACTGAGCCACCCAGGCGCCCCCAGGGAGTAAATTTTCTTAAAACACAAATATCTTTTACAAATTAGTGGAAAAATCTAACAAAAAAATAGACAAAATGGGCAAAAGATTTATACAGTTTACAGAAAAGCCAGAAAGTTTCAAACTTATGAAAAATATTCTACCTCACTCATAAGGAATGCAGAATAAAACTGTGATGAGAGACTACTTCCCCCTCTCCTAGATTAGCAATGATAAAAAATTTGGTAGGACTGTTGAGAGAATGGTCAAAAACACAGGCAGCCTCAGACATTGGTGCAGAGGCTTAATCGTTAGAGAAGGCAATTTAGCATTCTGTACCAAACATACATATATGCTCGTGGCAGGGCTTCTCAACCTAGACACCACTGACATTTTGGGTCAGCTAATTCCTTCTTGTGGGGGACTGTCCTGTGCCCAGTAGGGTGTTTCGTGGCATCCCTGGCCTCTACCTACTAGGTGTCAGTGGCCCTCCCATAGTTGTGACAACCAAGAATGTCTCCAGACATTGCCATGTCTCCTGGGAGCAAAATTGTCACCCCTGCCCCCCCAGTTGAGAACCACTGTCTTAGAACAGGCAATTTCACTTTCACTAGTTCATCCTACTGATGTACTTGCACATTTACAGTATGACTCCACCCAGAAGATTAGTAATCACAGCATTGTTTATCGTACTAGCAGGAGATTGAGGAGCTGAGTTGACTGTGAGGACTTGTTAAAATTAGGGTACATTTACACAATGGAAAATGATGCAGCTGTTAAAAAGAGGGTTTTTTTAATGTGCTGATACAGCTGGGCTGATATTTATTGAGGGAAAAAAATTGGAGGAGTAAAAGTGAATAGCATTGGCTACTCTTTGGACAAAAAAGGTAAATTTATATGTTTATGTGAGTGTAGATCTCTAGAAGAATATGCAAAACCTAAAAATAGTGTATGCTTCTGGGAAGAACTGTTTGGCTGGGGACAGGGTAGGATGGGAGATTGTCACTGTATACTCTTATACCATTTGAATTGCATGTATTGCCTGTTCAAAATAATTGTTAAAATGAAAAATGGGGCGCCTGGGTGGCTCAGTTAGTAAAGCGTCCCACTCACCTTGAGATAGTGCCCAGTGACAGGCTCTATGCTCAGTGGGGAATCTGCTTGAGATTCTCTCTCTCTCCCTCTGCCCCTCCTGCTCATGTACTCTCTCTCTCTCTAAAATAAATAAATCAATCTTTAAAATAAAATAAAAAACAGAAGGACATTGCTAATTCAAAAAATCCACTCAAAAGAAAAAGGCTAGTTAATTTTACTGAATGATCATTTTAAAAATAAAACTTAAAAAGACCGAGATTCCTCAAACAATTGAATAACTATTGATCCAGCAATTCTACTTCTAGGTACATACCCAATATCACTGAAAGCATGAACTTGAAGAGATGTTTGTACACCCATGTTCATAGCAGCACTATTCATGATAGCCAAGGGGTAGAAGCAACCCAAGTGTCCATTGGCAGATGGAGAAGCAAAATGTAGTATATACATACAATGGGATATAGCTCAACCTTAAATAGGAAGGAAATTCTACATATGCTACAACACGGATAAACACTAAAGACATTATACTGGGTGAAATAAGCCAGTCACAAAAGGACAAGTATTATATGATTCCACTTACACGAGGTACTTGAGTGAAATTGATAGAGACGGGAAGTAGATGGGTGGTTGCCAGGACTTAGGGGAAGGGGTTCTGGGGAGTCAGTGTTTCGTGGGTACAGGGGTTTAGTTTTGCAAGATGAAGAAAGTTGTGGAGGTGGATGGTGGTGAAGCTCATACAGCACTGTGAGTATACTGAATGCCACAGAACTGCACAATTAAAAGTGGTCAAAATGGGAAATTTTATGTTACATATGTTTTACAAAAAGACAGGAAAGTGAGTTGAGACTGGTCAAAGCGTACTTAGTACACAGTTTTCCCCCAGAAAACCCACCAAACCTAAGAAATCACAATAAGGAAAAACAAATTCCTTAATAAAGGAAGGACGGAAGAGAAAAAAGTCTGTTTTAGACTGCACTTTAGTGTTTCTGAGCTGGATGAAAACATCACCATTTGTAAAAAAAAAAAAAAAAAAATCATCATGTTGAAAATTTCAACATTATTTTGAGAACCACATTGAAACTGGGGAGAGATGTCAGGGCCAGTAAGTCCCATAAGCCAGAACTGTCAGGATCCTTGGTTTAATAGGTCCTTCCCAACCCAGGACCGGGCCAAGGCCGAGGCTGTGAACCAGAAGCTCCGCAAACAGCTGGCCGAGTTCCGCGCGCCGCAGGTGATAATGTACGTGCGGGAGAAGGTCTTAAATGGGGACCTGGAGAAGACCATCAAGATGTGGGAAAGGAAAGTGGAGATTGCAGAGGTAAGTCTCAGAGAACCCCAGGACAGGCAGTCTTTTATGTCCTTCACATTCTTGTCTAGGGTTTTGCTTTTCAAGTTAAGAATACCAAAGTTCAGACATGTGATGTCTGTGCGAAATTCCAGCAGTCCCTTCAAGTCTTGTAGGAAAATGAAGGATATTTTAAGAACCTTTTCAGTGTTAGGGACAGGGTCTTTTCAGGTGATCAGGAAGAGACTCGGTAGTAATTGTGTGTTTTTAGTTGCTTGTTTTCTTAATGAATTCTGGAAGTTTCTGAATCCCTTCCCCCACCATTTGGTGATTTAGGGATTGCTACTTTATACATGGAGAAGCCAGTTTTTTAAAAAAAATTAGATAATAATGGATTTTTAATATCACTCAGAACCCGATTCCATGCATTTACATAGTTGCCATGGGTCTTTCATTTTTGATAACCCCACAGCCTTTCCACGTGATACAGTGTGCTCAGAGCACCCTAGCCCCTTGTGAGTGCGGAAGAGAAATGGGAAACGTGCAAAGGGTCAGAATAAAGGAAAGGAAAGCACCAGGTCTGCCACAGGCCGGGTTGCATACTGAGGACACTGGAGACATCAGCAGAGTAGCTCAGAAACCCAGGCAGGTCACTTTGGAAGCCTGGTGTTTTCACATCTAGACCCAGGCTCCTTTTCCCACAGTACTTTCTCCTGCCCTTCCGGTGGCCACTTGGTGGCAGGGAGTGAATTAGGATCCAAACTTAGGCCCGTCAGATTTGGAGCTGAGAAGTAGCACTGCAGGAACCTGCAACTTCTCACTTCACTGAACAGAAACAAGCTCTTTGGAAGAGACTTGCAGCCTGGCACTGCCCCACACAGATTCCTCTGCATCCTCGCAGGGCTAGATGTGGGTTGCATTCTGAAAAATCACAATTGCTTTTTCCCAAATAACCTTCTCCCCACCCCCCCACCCCCTTTTTCCTTTTTGCAGATGTCCTTAAAAGGCTACCGCAAGGCGTGGAATAAAATGAAAACCACCAATGAGCAGTTGCAGGCAATTTGCCCCCCTGAGAAATAGCCAGAGGGAGGCCACGGCTGCAGACCAGAGTGATCCATTAAAGTAATCAGCTCCTTTCCAGTCAAGGGGTCCTCTCACTGTTTCCTGTGCTGCTTGGTGTCCCCGACTCTCCGGCCGGGCACTTCCCTGGCCACATTTGCCCGTGGGGAGTGTTTGCACAGCCTGGCCCCTGGAACCGTTAACACTGAAAGAACCACAGGGCACTCTAATGGTTTGACACTTGTTAGCCCACATTTAGTTCACAAGCACAAAAGAAAGTGACCTTCCCGCGTGTGGGAGTGGGACAGAGAAGAGAGAGCCAGCCCAGTATGCACTGTGGGCCTGTCCGTGGCAGCCCAGGTGTGCCACCTATAAAAAAAACAGACACCAAAACAGCATGGTGGCTGCCTGGCACTCAGCATTCTGAGCTTACTCTTCAGTTGGGAGGGTTAGCTCCTAGACTAGATATCATTGCAAAAGAAAACAAGCACAAAGAAAAACAAGATAATTTCTTGGGGCTGATGTAACCTGTTCTGACCTGAAATAGGCCCACTACCCTCCCCAGCCTCCCCATAATAGTCAGAGTAAATGGGATCTACGGACACAACAGAAGACTTGCCTAATTCCCCTAACCCTTTCTCCTCAAGGTCTGGAGACTCTGTAGAGCTATTTGTTGGGAATGTATATAAGGTGACCTTATTTTGTTCTTGCATGTCTGCTTGGGACTGTTCACCCTGGCCCAGCCCAGAATGTTTTTTCGGTGTCACGATGATATGTGATGAGTAGCTGGGGAAAGGAAATGGTTCCTCCCAGTGGTGGAAGGAAGACAGAGGACGGCTGGTTTTCTTAGTCTTGGACATAATCCAGTCGCTATAGTCTTCCACGTTGATGTACAGAAATAGGCCAGGGCAATTCTCACCACCGTGGGACAAGATTCCTCTCAGCACCCACATATTCAGTTGCTGTAGCTGGCACATCATCGGGTTTCCTGGGTCCCCCTGTGACAAAAGACAGAAGGCTTCAGGTCTTAGAAAAACTTGTTTGTTTTTTAAAATATATCCTTGTGCAATTTACTATTTGTTCTAGAAATGTTTTACACTAGTTCTCACTGGAGATGGGGTAAATTATAGGATACCAATTCCAAACTAGGCGGCCACTACCACAAATTCCAACAAGATGACTTTTTCTTTTATTATGCAAATTAGTTGTAGGCTTCTGCAGTTTGGCTCTAGCTTCCTGGTTGCCATTTCATTTTCATGCCTCTTTGACTAAATCCTCACTCTCTTTTGATTTCTCTTTCCTCAAATGTTGATCCCCCCCCCCCCGCCTTTCTGGCCTGGAATGCTCCCATTTTTCCTTCTCCTCATTGTTTCCATCCTTCATTTAATCTGCTCCCTCCTCCGCACACTCCTGCGGAGGTCAGAGTCACACTTCCCTGGGAGCACTGGCCAGGCAGCTTCACAACCTGGCCACCCTGACGACTGCCTGTCTGGGTCCCCTGCTCATCAGCCCTGCCCATGCTCCCACAGGAAGTCCTCTGCCACTCGGCGATTCTGCCACACAGACCCTATCTCCCTTCAAGGGAGTGCCTGGAAGCTTGGCCCCCTTCCCCACATACGTGACCCTGGTGAGTCACCTACTGGTCTCCGAGTTAAAGTGCCTGTACCTCATGCAGAGCTCCTAACACAGTGCCTGGCATACAGTCTGCATTCAGTATAGAATTAGTTACCATTATCCTCGTGTCTAGAAAAGGCCATCAGTTTTAGGTGGAAAGCTGAGAAATACGGGAATAGTAACAAGACAACTGCCAGGTATAATTTACCTTACCTGCCCCACCGCAAGCCTCCCCTTAAGGGAATACCTGACCCCCCACTCCAGCCCCGTGGTCCATTTTGCCCCAAGAGGGGTTGTCATTCAAAGGCTAGACAGCCCCTTTGATTTGCATGGTCTGCCTCTGTAGAAGGACGGGGCAAGCCCACATTGCTCTTGCTGTCGCAGGGTGCCATGGAGCAGAGGGAAGAGATTTCATCCCAAGTCCTGGCTGGCAGTGAGAAGGACTGTTGAACCGGCTCCCGTCTGTACCCAATCATGTCTGCCTGGGGCAGAGAGGCTCTCGGGCCAAGCGTGGCCTGGTCGCCCCTCCTGTCACCAGTCCCGCCTCCAGTTTACTTTAACTGTGGTTTCATAGCTTGAAGAAGAAAAACGATGCAATTTAGGACAAATGGTTTGATGAATGACTGTGTAGCAGACCTGCCCGGCTGTGGCATGGTTTTGCATGTTGCCGTTCCACCCCGGGGGTAGAATACACTGCTTTTCTCTTCCTCATAACCTGTGGGACAGGACTTCTGAAGCCCAAGCAGCTGAGAGAAGTATTACAGGGGTGCCTCTGGAGCAGCCCCACCTCATCTCCCAGGGGAGCAGCCCCAGCTTAGAGGGGCTCTTTCTTTGTGTGATCCTCAACCTTGACATTGAACGAAAGCCCTAACAGTTGTGGGGAAAAGGGAAGAGGTGAATTCAGAGTGACTCTGCTTTGGGTTGGGTTTCTGGGGACCCATTAGACAGATACTGGACTTGGGTGGTTTATTCTACTACCATCTACATATTTGAATGACTTTGAGGATCTCTGGACCCTAGAACACTTTTCTGAGAGAAAAGGATCCTAGGTAGACAAGTCACTGTTTGTCTGTCTGAGCCAGTTTGCAAGCACAGTTCAAAAACAAAGGACTGACTGCGGGGGTGCTCCAGGTAAAAACCAATAGATAAAAACCAATCTGAACTTTGCAGTTAGATTTAAAGAGGTAATCATTTAGAGTATGAGCAGCTTACCATATTCCTTTGAATTTAAGATGCTCTTGAAAAATGAACATATTTGGAATGAGATGTGTCTTTTAATTGGTTGATGTCAGAGTTCAACTGGCAGCATTTTCTCTCTCTTGATATTCCATTAAATAATGGTGCATTCTACAACTGACAGCATCTTAGGTTTGATGAAATAAGGTGCTGGATCGATGGAATGGCTGATAGCAGGATTTGATAAATAGCTATGTTTTCTACTGTATTTTAACACATTATCTACTTTAAAAAGTTGTTAGTCTTCCACCTGGTAGAGAGTCCAGTACAAAGTAGGCACTCAGGGGTGCGTGGGTGGCTCAGTCAGTTAAGTGTTAAGATCTCAGGGTCTTGGGATCTTGCCCCGAGTCAGGCTCCTTGCTCAGCGGGGAGTCTGCTGCTCCCTCTGCCTCTCCCCCCTCCCCCACCCCCACTTATGCTCGCTCTTTCTCTTTTGCTCACTCTCTCTCTCTCAAATAAGTAAATAAATAAAATCTTTTTTTTTAAAGATTTTATTTATTTATTTGAGAGAGAGAATGAGATAGAGAGCATGAGAGGGGGGAGGGCCAGAGGGAGAAGAAGACTCCCCGCTGCGCAGGGAGCCCGATGTGGGACTCGATCCGGGGACTCCAGGATCATGACCTGAGCCGAAGGCAGTCGCTTAACCAACTGAGCCACCCAGGCGCCCATAAATAAATAAAATCTTAAAAAATAACAACAACAAAGTAGGCACTCAATAAATGTTGAACCAACTTTGGAAAGGCAAACTTACTGCCTAATGAAAGGCAGTCCTTCATGCATTTGCAATAAAATTACTTTTAGAAAGAATTGTCCCCTTTCTCTAAAATGCTTTCCTTAGATCATCTGGAAAAAAAATTTCCCCACCAGGGAATCCTGAAAGTTACTTGAAGGAGAATAGATGATCAGCACTTTAGAAATTTTGGTGTAGAAGAGAGAAACTGCCTGGAAATCTGGTGGACCTATGTTCTCATCCTTACTGTAACATTAACTGTGTGACCTCTGTGAACCACACCTCCTCTGGGTATGGACATGAGGGAGCCTGGGCCAATGGTTTGTGAATTCCATCCATTTTGCTGAGGCAGTAGAACAACCACATCTATACAGCCCTCATCTGGATGAAGGGCAGGGCTTCTTACAGAAAAAAACTTCAATAACTGATGAGCAATAGCATCAGAGTCTAGATTCCATAGAAGCTGAATACAATGACCCCACCCTGTGGACATACCCGAAGTATATCTGCATGCATGGTTTGGACTCACACTTTCAAACTTTTAGCCAGTGAGAAACATCTATGACTTAGACATGCTTAATCATGTCACATTGAAAATGGTGACTGTTTAGTCCATTCAGTAGATTTTTATTGAGCATCTACTGTCTGCCAAGTGCTGGAGACAGCCATGAATCCCAAGTGCCAGTCCCTGCCAGTCCCTCATGGAGTTCACCATGCAATGAGGGAGAGTCTCCCTTCTCCCACCTCCCTTGAAGTGACCACTGCTTACTCTCAGCCTTTAGCTTTTATTCCATCATGTTCTTACCAAGCAGACAGCATCGGTTTCCTGCTGTATGTGATTGCCACATCCTGTTTTCTTGATTTTGTGTAAGGGACACAGGTCGATGTCTTTCACGGAGATTTTCCTCAGGATACTCATCGTCATGTGATTTCCTGTCTGGATCATGCAACAGAGAGCCAAGAATTATTAATAAGAATACATTGCCTGTATGTCAACTCAACTACAGCTCACATATCCAGATGGGAACGAGTAGAAAATGCTCTGATAAACCCCTTTTCCTTATAGAAATTAGAATTTGCTTTGAACTTGAATGTGAAATGAACTTGAATGTGAAAATCAAGAACATATTCTACCCTTCTTCCACATCTACGGAGAATACATTTCCTTGTTCATTTCCCAAGAATAAAAGAAAACAAGGATGGCTTAGCCAACAGGATAATCAGCTCCAGTTCAGGGAATAATCTCCCCTGACCCCCCCAAAACTTTGCACTCATCTCAGGCTGTTTGCTGCCTACGTACTTCTAATTTTGCTGTAGGTCTAGAAGAAAAAGGACCAAATGTAAGAATGGCCACAGAAAAGGCAAGCATTACAAATCTTGACTGATTACATGAAGTTTCCAGCCCAACTCCAGAATCTTGAGCAACCTGAATTATTAAGATAAGCCCTAGAATGGTTCATCCAAGTCACCCCCTCCACTAGCACACACACAGCCTCCTCTAGGAGAAGGCAGGCATTAACTGCAGATGTGGGATTCCATCCTGCCACCCAGCAGTTCCGCAAGGCTGAGAGCATATTCAGGTTTCTGTCGAGGAAGCAGATGGGCTGGATCAGATTGTTGAACCCTATCGGCGTGTCTGTCTTCAGGAGGGCTATGTTATTTGTCATGGTTTTATTATCAAAATCCTCATGGATGATGATGGTATTGACTGGATACTCTTCATGAGCAATCACTTTAGCATCCATCTTAGCTATACCAACTATAACGATGACGTCCTTCCTAGAGAGAGAGAGCGAGCAAGGGAATCTTGAGAAGCCAAGGCACGATGGAAGAGTCACCCTTCCCTGTTTCCGTATTTACTTTTTTTTTGCTTGGAATACTCATCCAACTCATTTTTCCTGGGCTAATTTTTACTGACCCCTTTAGACCCAGTGCCTAGGAAATCTTTTCTGAACCCCTACCCTTGTGTCCTCCTTTGTGAGCCCACAGCATCTTGGGAATCCTCTATCTGAACATCATTTGTCCCACCACCCAAAGATAATCTGTTAAGTTATGGCTGATTATCTTTTTTTTTTCATGCTTTTTCCATGTTTTTTTTTTACATAGTCATTGTTATCCCCGAGATGTAATCTTGACTCTTGATTTTAGCACTTAACATTTTAACATAAACATCTTTTCATATTACCTACTCTGTAAATACTCTTCAGAGAAATTCCGATTTTAATAATGATGGAGTTCCTTTTGGGTGTTTTCCCTTTCTCGTCTTGGGAATCACCCAAAGAACTACAGCAGAGTCTAAGAGGACAGTCCAGAAAGAAACTGAGGATGTAGTCGTCTCCCATGAAATTATAACTCTTAAGATGAACGCCAGAACAAAAACTCAAACTTCCCAAATTTGTCAGAAGAGACATACAGTATGCAAATTAGCAAAGGTGATAGAGTGAAAAGAAAAACCAGAAACAACAAAAGCAGAAAACATAACCTAAAATAAAAACAAGAAGCAGGAGTTTTATTCTGACCATCAGTTCAGAAGAGAAGAGCACAAAGTAAGACAGAGAGTCTCCTACTGATGAGAAAGAATTCAGTCTACGGTGAAAACATCATAGTCATAAACATCTGTAATACATGACATAATGTTCACAAAGGGAACACTCCAGGAAATAGAAAAAGCAAGACGCTTGTTCATGATAGATTTTCACTTACCTTTAGCAGCCTAGGACAGATCAAGGAAATTACCTCCCCCAATTTTATATATTAAATTGTACCCAAAGACAGAGAATGAAATTTGAATTTTAACTGCAGAAAATATTCACATGGATCACATATAGTAGACCACAAGGACAACCCCCAACAAATTCCTAAATAGATCAGATCACCATGTAGTATAACTCAAAATTCGATAATGCCAGAAAACAAAACAGACAAAACACCCCTCTACCTGGGTATTTTAAAACTCTGTCTTTAATAAAGCCCTGAGGCAAAGGGAAAATCAAAACCAAAACAGACCAGATAGAAAATAGCAATAATGAAAACACTCCATGGAAAGCAGAAGCTTTCTGGAAGGCTAGTTGGCAACAGCTACCAATATTTGGCCCAGTCTTTCCACTCCTGTGTTATTCATGCCACAGTATATTGCATGCGTGTGAAATAACATATGTACAAGTATATCTACTGCAGCATTTTTTTGGTACTAATAAAAGATCGGAAGCAACCCAAATTTCCATTAATAGAGGACTCTGCAATTATAGTAGATCCATCTTGGGATACTGTGCAGCTGATAAATGTGGGAGCTCTCCATGTAACAGTAAGAAAAGATGGCTCAACATTCCTGATAGAGTGAAAAAGGCTACGAGTGTAACACTGTGTTGGTGTGCTACCAGCTGTATTGGGGTTGTTATAGACTGAGCTGTGTCCTGCCAAATTTGTAGGTGAAGTCCTAGCCCCAAATGTGGCTGTATTTGGACAGAGAGCCTTTAAGGAGGTAATTAAGTTTAAATGGGCTCCTAAGTGTGGGGCTCTAATCCAATAGGTGTGGTGTCCTTATAAGAGGAAGCAGAGACACCAGGAGTACACACACCGAGGAAGGGCCATGTGAAGACACAGCAAGAAGGCAGTGGTCTGCAAGCCAAAGAGAGTCTTCAGGAGAAATCAGTCCTGCTGATCTTGGACTCGATCTTGGACTTCCAGCCTCCCAAATGGTAAGAAATAAATTTCTCTTGTCTAAGCCACCCTGTCTGTGGCATTTTGTTATGGCAGTTCTAGCAGATTAATACAGGGGGAAGGAAAATTCTTTCTCTGTCAATAGATGTAAGAATCAATATAGATAAACCTATAGTTATATAGATATCCATAAATGCATTAATTAAGGAAGAATATTCAAGAAACCGATGATGTGACTATGGCTTAAGGGAGGGAGTTAGTCTCTGAAGGCCAGGGGAAAGAAGGAGTTGCTTTTCCTTGTATACCCTTTGGTTCCTCCTGAACATTATACTATGTATATGTATTTTCACTTAAATGCATGTATTTTCAAAAAAATAAATGCATGTATTTTCAAATAATATAAATCATAGGTGTGAAAAATTCAGCAGCTGTACAATATTCCATTAAGGGTTTATACTATTATTTAGCCAAGTATAGTAATTATAATCTCTCCCCCCATACTTTGTGTATATACATTTATACACATAGAAGGCATGTAAACAGTATATATAGAGATATATATGTAATTATACATATTATATACTATGTATTATATGCTATACATATGAAAGAGTAACTAATTTATTTATCTATGATAATTGGACATTACATTTCCAGTGTTTTGTGTGTAACAAACCATCCTATGAACTTTGTGCATAAAACTTTTCCAGTGGTTGAAGTTATTTCCTTAATGTTGATTCTCAAAAGTGAAATCACTGGGTCAAAAAGTAAGATGTTTTACAAAAAAAAATTATTCCTTTAATAATATTTGGGGGTTTTTCCCCTGGTTTACAAGAATGCATATTTACTGTATAGAATTTGAGGAATACAGAAGTTCAAAGATGAAAATAGAAGTCATGTGCATTCTGAGCATCCAGAGATAAGTGCTCTTAAAGTGTTTGCGTATTTCCTTCAAGTCTTTTCTCTGTGTACACATATTTATCACAGACACGTTGTTAAGGCTTGAGGTTAAGTATTTTAAGGTACAGGCTCCTATCAATTCACTTAACAAGACTAGAGTAAGGACCTCTAGTATCAGGAGTCAGTGACTGTGATTGCAGTAAAATGGGAATGGATATCCTTCCTGCGGAAGATGGAGGAACAATCATTTCACCTTGTAGTCCCCACCGTAGAGAACACATTGGACAGCATGACTTTGGCAACTGGTGATTTTAAGACCCCAAGAGTCCTGGCAGAGCAAGCGCCGAGCCAGTAAAAAGCCCTGTTGCCCTGTTACCAGGAATCCACCTTCCAGGCCTCCCCAAGATGAGCAGGAAAAGGTCCCCCCACCCCCACCCCCAGGGGGCTGGGTAAGTCCCAAAGGCAGGGGTACTGGCCTGTTCTGCAAGACGGATGCGATGCTGATGATCCAGAACTCACTAAGGATGCTGCCAAAAGCCAGGTGGGTGTACTGGGAATCCTGCAGCGACACCACCCATGGGAATTCCTTGTCTTTGACCAAACCTTCCTCGGAAATTTCCATAACGTTGGTTTTCTGAATGCCACAACCTGCAGGGAAGGTGTGTGGGGGCCTCACCATTGGGGCAAAGATCAGACCTCAGGACCCCCTCTCCTGCTGGTTCCCCACTCCTTCTGGCTCTCCATCTTGGTCGCCACTAACTCTGCCACCGCCCCCTGGTTTCTCTTCCTAGTGGGTCTTCTTCTCCATATAAGATGCTTGATGACATCTTTGAGTCTAAAAATAACCTTAGGCTATCGATAATCACTCTCCTCTATGGGGCACTTAGCAGCCCACTTGCGGCAGTATCTGAAAACTTCTACGTACACCAGTGGTCCTCGACATGGTCTGGCACCCTGGGAGTCAAGACCCTTTGCAGGGTCTGCAAGATGTAAACCGTTCTCATAAGAACACTAAGACGGTATTTGTTTTTCTCACCCTCATTCTCTCACTAGCGTGCAGTGGGCTTTCCCAGAGGCTGCATGATGTCATCACTCTCACGGCTAATAACACATGTGAACCTGTGTATTCTTGTGTTTTACAATTGTCCCAGTTTTTAATTGCTAATATGGTAAAGATGGGAAGATACAGCCTCATAACAAAAATTCTTTGTGGGGGTCCTCAATAATTTTTAAGAGTATAAAGGAGTCCTGAGACCAAAAAGTTTGAACACTGCTGATATTTACTACTTCATATAATTCCTCCAACACAACTGGAGGCGGACACTGTCATTCTCCATTTGTGGATGAGAAAATCGAGTTCTAGAGCTGGTAAGCACTGTCCAGGTTACACAGCTGGTAGGATACAGGGCCAGAATTCAAACTCCATACACCTTCAACCCCTCACAGTCTCCGTTCTAGCCACATTTCACATCCTCAGATTTGCCCGTGCTGTTCCCTTCCTGAGCAGTTGGCATGCGTGGCTCCCCCATGTCTGTTTTGCTCGCCAGACCTCTAGGGGTACACTGGCAAGCTAGTGCACTTACGGTACTAGCCCGCAGTAAGTGCTCAATAAATCACCTGGTGAATGAACGAAAGTGTTTTGCCATATCAAGCACTTCCTGAGGTCTTGTCATCAAGGGGTTAAAAGGCCCCACCAGATGGAGGCTGCATCTGGCCCATTCAGGCCGGCTTGGCCTTTGACTTCCCAAGCCCTCAAGTGAGTTGCCTCCAACTGGGCAGTCTCTTGGGGAGTCTGGACTTTGTTTCAAATGAGAGTTAAATGTGGACTAAAGTTTTAAATAATATTCTCCCCCTGCCAGGTCTGGTTTCACCCGAGATGCTGTATTGCCCTGTATTTAAAAAAGCGGTCCATATTCCTAGAATCATGGAGAGTGTAACTGTGATAGAGCAGGCAGGACCCCTGAAGCACAAAGCCCCAGGCTGGGTGAGCCAAGCCTCCTACTTTCCAGGCACCATTATGGAATGGCATACACATGGGGCGCTTTGCTCTCCTTGGCTGCTGACTTCCTCCCCGCCCTGTGTCCTCCCTCCCATGCCATATGCCCTGTCCCAAGAGTCCCCGAGCCCAACCTCCTTATTGGACCTAGAGGTGCCTATCTCGTCCTCAGTATGTAGAGTGGAGTGCAGGGATTCTCAACCTGCCTGCATATTTCATTCATGTGCTGCCCAGCACTTCCCAGGCCCCTGGGGATGGGGCCTGGGCACTGGCACTTGAAACAGCCTCCCCAGGTAGTTTCTAATGTGTATTCAGGGTTGAGAGCCACTAGTGTTTTGGGAGAGCCCTGGATGCAGTGTCCCAGATACAGTTGGCCCCTATGCTCTGAGACCTGGGACAAGCCACTTCACTTATCTGGGCCTCAGTTTCCTCTTTTTTTTTAAGATTTTATTTATTTATTTGACAGAGAGATAGAGAGAGAGTACAAGTAGGCAGAGAGAGAGGCAGAGGGAGAGGGAGAAGCAGGCTTCCCGCGGAGCAGAGAGCCTGATGCGGGGCTCGATCCCAGGACCCTGGGATCATGACCTGAGCCTAAGGCAGCCACTTAACCGACTGAGCCACCCAGGCACCCCTCAGTTTCCTCTTTTGAAATGCGTGGTAACACACCTCTTGGAGTTGTAAAGATCACATGAGGTGAGGTTATGGGAAGGTGCTTTGCAAATTGTATCCTCATGACTGATAATGCTAAACCCAAAAAGGATTTTTATTTTTTTAATTGTAAACCACTACTCTGGTTGCTGTTTATAAATCCCAAACTACAAGTACTCAGTATTTGTTTCTAAATTGGTGGCCCTGGATGATGGGTGTGACATGGTGGGCACCACTAGCCAACTATGGGTCAGATCATTGGTGGCTACATTTTCAGCCGTTTATTCAATTCATGGGACATTGCAGTCTCTAGTGAACAAGGTATGAATCTTACCAACCCAACAAGAACCTACAGGTGGGTGATGACTTTTGCTTTCTCAAAACTCTAGTTGGCTAGTTTATTTGACATTATAAAACCCTTGGATATAATGAGGAAATCTGACCCAGAGATGAAATGTTTGCCCTGGGTCACTTGCCTGAGGCTTTTAAAGAGGGAGGAGAGGTGCTTTGTGTTTTGTGGGCATCCCTTGGTCTCTTTGGGGCTGCAAGGAGATGGAGTAGGCTAGGAAGGTAGGGGGTTCTCCCCTTGATGTGTGTGTGGGGGGGGTGGAGGGAATTGGATGCTCTGTCATGTCTCCCATCTAACTCTGGGAAGATAGGACAGAGCCAGCTGGGGTGGCAGCCAGATATGACAGAGCTTGCTTGAGTCAGGTGCCCCCTCTCCACCTGCCCCTTTCTAGGCTTGGAATCTTAGTCCTGGACAACCTGGAGGTCAGGGAAGGACTGAGGCCCCAGCAGGCTCCAAGGTACCTCCTTGCTCCTGGGTCCAGCCCTGCAATTGAGGGTCAGTTTAGCAATACAGTCTTTTGGTTTAAAGAGAAAAGGTTTCATCGGAACAACAATGCTGAAGTAGAAACACAGGGAGGGTGTGGTTCCCAAGTATACCAGACTCACCGCAGGCCGCCCCCTCCAGGCATGGGGGGGACATCTGCCACCTGATGCTGCCTGGGGGACGAGCCCCAGGAAAAGCAGGGGGGCGTTCTGAAGAGGCCTTTCAGTAGCCTAAGGCTTACCTTCCTAAAGACACTCTCACTGGAGGATCAGCTGACATCAGACTGCTGAAGCCATTCGCCTACATCCACGCCCCATGTTCCCCTTCTTTGCCTGATCCCACCACCCATGCAGAGCACTGTGAGTCATCTTCCCCCTGGGTCCCTCTCTGGACATCAAGGGCCTTTTCCTGGACAATTCCCCCTGCCATGTGACACGAGCCGCTGAAGTCCTTATGGAAGAAAGAAGCACACTCACTGGCAGAAGAGTGAGAGACATAGAGCAGGACTAAGAGCATCCCTTGCATCTCTGCCATCCCCAAAGCAAACTGCAGCGGACACCATGGGCAGCTGTGAAAACACAACATCCAAAGGCACAGGCTTTTCCTCTCCTCCCCAAAGTGGCGATTCCCTACTCCACCCCCGGCATCGGATGCCCTGCCTCTTTCCTTTCCCCTGATGAAGCTTCCAAGACGTGGGAAACAGACCTGTCACGTCCCAATTGCTTGGTTCCGTGCAGTGAAGAGCTCCGGGATCAGCTGCCCAGCACTGATATTCTTAGGATTGGTAAGGTGGCCCACGGAGAGGAGGTAGCCCGAGCTTGTCAGTTTTCTCCTGGATCCAGCCAAGGTCCCCGGGCTCCCCAGAGTTTGGGGTTCAGAAAAGGTTGTTTTTTAACTCATGGAATTCGACCCTTTTCTTAACTCTGTAGCCATAAAATGCTGCTGAAAGGAAAAGCAGGGTTTAGTGCAAGCTCACCCCCAGTTTTGCTTATCCTACTACCCTCGGAAGGGCTTAAATAATGCTGGGATTTCTTTTAACTACTGAGAGCTTGTACTTTTACATAGTAACCGCCCAACATTTAGCTCAGTTAATTTGCACGATAACCCTGTGAGGTAGACAAGATCACTCTCCCCATTTTACAGATCCAGAAACTGACATTCGGACACTGAGAAGCCTGCCCGAGGTCACACGACTGCCAAGTGGTAGAGCTGGAATTTGAATGGGAGTCTGAGTTCAAAGCCCATGCATGTCTCATCATCCACCATACCACCAGGCCCACCCTTGCCTCAAACAATGCACAATAGCCGTCTCAGTCACCATGTTCCACTCATGACACTGGATGTTTCTTGTCTGGATGGCTCTCAGAGTCTTCTGTGAACTGCTACTGCCAAAGGAGAAATGAACTCACTCTGACCTTACACAGCAGAGCTCAACAGAGGGATTCCTTCTACCACCTTGGGAAGAATGTTCCATTGTGGCATCATCGTTACCATGGTGTCACCAAGGAAACGTCTAGACATGGAGACCTAGGAGGAGCCAGGATGAAAAGCCTGCTTGTTTCCTAAACTTGGCAGGGCTCTTCTGGAAGCCTGGCTTTCCCCAGGCCTGGCCAAGAAGACATCCCTTTTGCTAGATCACAAAGCCCTGTCCATGTGGCCGTGGTCTGTCTACCTCTTCAGCACCCGCCCTGTGTCTACACGACTTTGTCAGACTGGATGGAGGAAGCCCACGACTAAGCTGGTTTGGTTTTTCTGATCCCCATGAACATTCTGACACTCCTGGTGTGGTTTTCTGGGGCTCAGTTTCCCTTAGCATTTCAGCTTGCAGGTCCAAGTGAAGCCACCAGACTGGCTATACCAAACCACGGGGCCAGATGGGATGTGCACTCTGGCCACCGTTAGCAGCTTTGGTTTCAGCACAAATGCCAGGACCCGAGAGAAGTGTTGGCAACATCGTGGTAAGAGGTAACTCCATGGAATCAGAGGGCTCACAGGTTGCTTGCTGGCTCAGTCGCGTGAAAGATATTTATTGGACGGGTAGGTAAATGGCTGATGGAAGGAAAGATGGCTGGTTAAAGTGAAGCCTGACTCAGGAAGGAGTCGCCATCTCTTTCCCCTCGAGATTCCCCTGACATCCTGCGTGCCTCACAATAATCCATCACCTTTAACACCGAGCAATAGTTGGCTTCTGCTGGAGAACAGAATGGGAACGATTTGGGGCAGTGGGAGATACGGGAGTTGACCCTTCAGTCTGGTACACATCGCAGGTGTCAAAACACTCACATGTGTTTTCTCGTTCATGATGCACAATCACCCCACCAGGATGAATGAATTACATGAGCTTTCCCCATGGGAACACGGTGGCTCAGAGTGGGAAAGTCACTTCCCTACAGCCACATATCTGGAAAGTGGCCGGGGCAGGACTCCAACCCAGATCCCTTCAACTCCAGAACTGTGAGCTGTGTCCAAGTCTGCATTTCTCAGCCTGGACCTTGTGTTGCCTGATAGGGGACTGAAGCAGAAGCGGTGATTAGGGCAAAGACAGGGGCTGCTCTTTGAGAGTGGAGATGCTGAGGGTAATGTACAAAACCCCAGCTCTCTCCCAATTCCTCTTTAATTCCTGCCTAAAAAGAAGCCAAGGGGAGGCCACCAGAAACATTCACTCTTAACAGGCACGATCTAGCATAACTTGATAATGATAAAGGCTCAGAATCTTGCAGGCGCCCAGCAGACTGTGTGAACAGAGGGCCTCAAATCTTCAGCCTCTCTGGGTCACTTAATGCAGACCCATCAACTTTAGGTAAACTTTTAAAGGACCCATCACCATTTTGTAAATAACTAATTCTTTAAGGTTAATAATAATGATAAATAATAATAATAATGTTAATAATAATAATAGTTTTGTATCTTGGAGAGGAAATTCATTTGCAATATTACACCATGGGCTGCATATCCAAGTTTATGACAACATGAAACACATGTAGTTTCCCAACACGTCACTTTCTATTTTTACTCTTTATTTTTATGAAGTTAGAAAACCCTAACTCTCAGTTAAAGGACATCTGAAGTTGCAGCAAGTTCGGGAAACTCTGGCAGATAGTTCTGGTTATTCGGATTGACTGAGGACTCCAAAATCATGGAGAGATTTTTTTCACTCTGCTGATGATTGCCCTTAATTATTCATGGGCCTGCCCCTCAAGCTCAAAACCTGGGGTGTTGAAAACTTCTGAGTAGTTTGAAAGTTTCATCCTAGGGGATAGTGATGGTTGGATTTCTAAATCACTTGGTTGCTTTTCCCTCTGGGAAATAGGTCTTGATGTTCTGTTGCAGATTTGGAAAAGGATGTTTAAACATGCTTTACTACATTTCAAAACCTCTTCTCTTGTGAAATTAACAGAACAACAACAACAACAAAAAATCAAGTACTATTTCATGTATGTATCACCCATTTTTCCAAGTGTGGCCTGCTACAAACCACTGGTCTGTTGAACTGTTAAGCAAGATGTCTGCCAGTGCAAATATGTCATAATTTCTGCACCCTGCATAGTACGACTTGATACAGATGCAACATCCTACAAAGTCTCTTGAACAGGAATTTTGTTAGTAGTTCCTGGTGCGTTTTCTTTGAATTATTTTTCATTACTATCGATGCTCACTGAAAGCTTCCCAGCAGCGGTATGACGTCTACGCGGAAGAATATAAGTTTGAATTAGGTTTTTGCCATTTAAATATCTTCTCCGCTGAGCAAAAAAGTTCAAGAATTTCTTGGAGAACATTATAATGCTCTCATTCTGGAAAAAATGTATCTACAATTTATATACCAAAGAGGTCACTGTGCTTGATTAAAAATGACAGAAAGGCTTTAATAGTTTCATGCTATTATTTGGCAGTTTTATTTTCAGATATCTGTGTTGGATTTGCAGGTTTTTTGTTAAATAGACCATCCAAAGAATGTTTTTATTTTCCTAAAAGTTTTTATTTTTATTTTTTTTTAAGATTTTATGTATTTATTTGACAGAGAGAGTCACAGTGAGAAGGGAACACAAGCAGGGGGAGTGGGAGAGGGAAAAGCAGGCTTCCCGCGGAGCGGTGAGCCCGATGTGGGGCTCGATCCCAGGACCCTGGGATCATGACCTGAGCCGAAAGCAGACGCTTAACAACTGAGCCACCCAGGTGCCCCTATTTTCCTAAAAGTTTTTAAAACAGAGTGTCATGTTTATCATATTCCTAACCCCTAAAGAAACAGCTTGTGTGCAAGAGGTTTTCAATTTTCATCTAAATGAAATGCATTTCATTAACCACTGCCTCCTGCAAGTCAAATTACCCAATCAATAATCTTTGAGATTGGCTGACAGCATTTCTACCACATGTAGCTAATCTATTAATATAAATTTCCCCACTGAAAAATTTCCATTTTAAGTTATTTAATTTGAAAGGAACATTTAGGAAATTTGATTATTTATGTCATCCAACTTATAGCCCTGGAGCTGAAACATGTTCCACCCTCTCATTCTCTTGCTCTTTAACAAGTTTATCCGTAGGTATGTATGCCTAAGCTATCTGCTAGAGGTTCTCTAGGGTGTATATACTTAGGAATAGGATTGCTAGGTCAGAGAATGTGTTAGGATATGCCTCGCTCTAGAAGATAATGCTAAATTGTTTTCCAAGATGGTTGGCCCAATTTACACTCATACCAGCAATGTAAGGTGATCCTGCTGACTCATGTATGTCCTCTCCAACACTTAACTACTGTCAGCCATAATTTGTGGTCAATCCAATGGATATAAAGTGATATCTCATTGCTAAGTTGAATTTCCCTAATTACTAATAAGGTTGAGGAAATCTTTTCCCATGTGTTTATTGCCTGTATGAGTTAATGCTTATGCTTTTTGTCCTTTTTTCCTACTGGGGTGCTTGCCTTTTTTTTTTTTAATTGAGATGTAGAAATTCTTAATACATTCTGAATATTGTTCACTATATGTATTGTGAATATCTTCTACGCTGTTTTCTATTTTAATTTCTTTATGATGTTTTCAAATAAGCAGAAGTCTTAATTTTAGTTTTAATGAAACAAAAATGTATTAATATTTTAAGTTAGGGCTCTTTGTGTCTTGTTTAAGAAACCTTTCCCTAGATCCACATCAGCAATTTATTCTGCTATATCATCTTCTCAAATATTTAAAGTTTTGTTCTTCACACATGAGTCCTCAATCTGTCTGGAATTTTTTTTGTGTGCATCATATGGACCCACTTTTTCCCACATGGATACCCAGTGATGGCACTGTTTGTTTCTCCACAGGTCTCCAGTGTGACCTCAGATGTACATGGTGGGACTGTTTCTGAGATCTCTCTGCTGCTACACTGGTCATTTTATCTATCACAATCAAGTGATAGATAAAGTCCACACAATCTTAAGTATTACAGCTTTGCCATGTCTTACTGTTTAGTAAGGTGAGTGCTCCCACGTAATTCTTTTTCTTTAGGAATTTCTTAACTATTTTTGATTTGTACTTTCATGTATTTTAGAATCAACTTGGCAACTGCCACCAACCAACCAACAAAACCTTCTAAGATTTGGATTAGAATTGCATTGCATCAACAGTTCAATTTGTGTCTACATTAACATCTTTATAATATTGAATCTTCTTATCCATAAGCACAATGTATCTCTCAATTTAATTAGGTCATTAATTAACTCAATTTAGGTCATAATTAGCTCAATTTAAGACTTTTCAGTAAAATTTTATGATTTGCTCCATAAAGGTCT